AGTCTCAGTGCTCGAAACAATAGAACTTGGACTGAATTTGCTGAAAATACGGCAGGTCTTGTCCGAAGCCTGGTACTCAAAACCGGCGCAGGGCAACCGCTTGCCTTCACCGTCCTTAAAGGATTTTAACTGATCATGCATACGGCAACTTCAACTTCAGGCCTTGAACCATTTACCATATTGTCCTTGCATATCTTACTGCATTCGTGGAGGAAATGAACTTTCTTCGATACGCTGTCTTTGTTTTGTGTGATGCTTTTATTGGCTTGTAGCACCATTATCGGAGATTGATTTGACGCACAGTCGCTTCTGACCCCTTAAAATAAATCCTTTGTTAAAGTATACTGTTTAGACACATGCAACATTAGATCTGTTGAGTGATTAGAAACAAACTGCGCATCAGTGCAGTGGAAATTCGATAAAAAAAGGAAAAGAAAATCGAGTTATATAAATCGTGGTTACGTGAAAACACTTGAGTAAACAACTTAAAATTACTTAGCATGATGAAAATATTGATCGATGTTAAATAAGAACGAATATGAGAATAATCTTTAACTAACGAGTTCGTATATTATTCCAGTTCAGCTAGATGTCATCACATTCGTATAACTTTAAAGTTATGCCCAGAAACCATACTGTGCATGCTGTACTCCAAGAGTGTAAATCTTCGCATTCGCTTCATATTTGATTAAGAACTTAGCTATTAGAGTTGTTTGGTTGACACCGTTCTTTTTATGTGAAATACATAAGTAATCTCCATGTTCAGAGGCTCGAAACTATCATCAGTATTCTTAAATCATGCAACTATGTAAAATTTCAAGTCTCGGTGGCATTTGCAACAATATGTGCAGAAGCAGGTAAAATAGAATTAAAACGAATCTTCCTGACATTTCTTGTTCCTTCTGTCACCGCTTTTAATATTACGGGTAGTTTTAGTGCAGTATGTATATCTAACACTAATTAATCAAAATTTACATCGACATACTCCTAAAATTTACCTCAAAGTGGACTCTTATGGCAGAAAAGGCATCTAACTTTAGTGGAAAATGACTCCATCCTTGTAAATAGTCATCTCTCCATTGAATGTAAAAGATTAGGGTTTTATCGCTTCACGTGTGACATCTCATGCGTCTGCATATAACCTGTAACAGGCGAACGTATGACATGCCGGCATGCATGTAACGTGTTCCAGGCCAAAGGTCTAGTGCTGTCCAGATTCCCTGCTGGTTGTACATTGCGGATAAACAGAACAGCAGTGAAACACGCAAAGTAGTTTATGCCCTTCTGGGTTGTTCTTTGTGATAAAAATAGGAGGAACAGATCGACCGGCGAACTTTTTTGGCCAGCAGAGTTCTAAATAACTCTTCCAAACCATTATGACTAAATGTGAGTCATCGAACCGACTCTGAAGACGAAGCTACCCATGTTCAAGTCGAAGCTTATCTCCATGCTCATCTATGGCCATGGATCGTGGACCATGACCGAAAACG